AAATTAACTTCGGCCCCCAAAGGCTCACATGGGCCGCTGATGGCCATTGTGAGGGTACAGGTGTTTTGATGAGGGTTACCACCAGTTGTGAGGGTGGGGATTTTTATGAGGGCGTCACGAATGAATCCAATAACACCAGTTCAAGTTCAACTATAATTGTTCTTTATTAAAATGATATATATGTTCAAGTTTCTACCTAACTGATCTACACTGTACTATTTACTTCTACTACTGACTGTTCATACCACATGCTACCTACTACTACGCACTCCCATGACCAAACCTAACACTAACTGTTCTCTACATTCTACAACCTAACACCTTCTACCTTCGCTAGCTAATCATGATCTCCTAACTATCTACATTCCTCGGCCGTCTCTGACCGCTACCTCACAACTCCTGGCCTATCGCTCTACTGCCCCACGCCTCAGTGGTCAGCTGACCGTCCCACGTGACCGGTCAGCCCTGTGCGCCCATTGGCCTCTCTAACCAACCAACTAGGCCTATAGTCTGTTTCTGCTAACCTATATCTGCTAAACATGCCTGACGTAATCTTGCGTCATCACATATCTCCCTCCCTTTCTGTAGCTGACAAATTATATTTTTCAGCGTCTGCTACTAATCTAATACATCAACAACTATCTATCTTACTACTCTATTCTATCCCTAACATCAATCATATAAATCAAACACAAAATGGGACAGCACTGTTTACAAAAACATAAAATCTTGTGTCTGTGTTCCTGAAAAAAAATGTCATTGTTCTAGTTCTTGTGTAAGTATCTAGACGTCTGTAGTGTCTCTGCTTGATAATGTATGTCTATGTTTCATGGTATGTGTAAATCCAATTATGTGCAACTCAGTTCTAGCTAGGTTGTCGTGTACTGGCCTTGAGCTAATCTTAGTGGTAATGTGTAACTGGTTGAACGGTCTCTGCGAGCAGTGTAAGTGTATGTGGAAGTGTTATGTAGTTGTTGTCGTTCCTCTGTGGTGGGTGGGTTGTGGCGAGTTTTGATGTAAATTCCCGTGAGGCGGGTGTAGGCGTAACTTCGTTGGTCAATGTGATGACGCAACAATCTCATCTCAACGCTGGTTGAGACGTCCACGTAGAGTGATTATACGATGAACTGGAGCTGTCTGATGCGGTGGCGAACAATGACGTAACATTCCGACGCTGGGAACTTGGACGATGGGTCGTCTACCCTTTGTATGTGCCGACGTAGGTGTACGTAGCTGGCGGTCTGTTATTCAACCCCAGTGCTGGGGCGAAGCGGTGGCGATGCGTCCGCTGTCTTGACCAGGGCAATTCTCTGTTAAGCAGGGCTGTTCGCTGTCCAGGTAACTCAACGTAATCAGGGCTTCAGGTGGCGGCATTCTTTGAAGTGTCTGCTTCATCTCGTCTCATTCTGAATAAGCGTAGTGGGTCTGAAATTGTATTACGAGACCATGAGCAATGGTTTTACGTGACCATCTTAGTGCCCGCGCAGACAAGTATTCAGACAGAGGTACCTTCCATTAAAAAAAAAACCTCAATCCCAAATTTATACGTGCTGAACATTTGTCTGGCGGCATAACAACATTAAGAAAATAACATTACAAATATAACATTACAAAAAATGACCAAATACAAAAAAATCAGTACACTCTAATCTAACAGCAATCTGTAAAGCCTAATAAACTCAATAGACGTAAACACTACAAGAGCTTAGAATAGCTTCACAAAAAGAATAGACATGTGAGTGTATATAAGTAATCGTGCCGTTTCAAATAACGTTTGAACTCGTAATCATATAGTGGAGCAGCTCTCACTATCTGACTTTTGACAAAAAACTGGCTGGCTTGACTTAAAGACTGACTTCACTTATGACTTCAGTAACTCGACTGACTTCAAATTAACGACTGACTTCACTTTAGACTTCAGTAATTTGACTGACTTCACTTTGACAACTGACTTCACTTAGGACTTCAGCAACCTGACTGACTTCGACTGACTTAAACTGACCTAACTTCGACTTCAACGACTTAAATAACTGATTTCACCGACTGACTTTGATTCGACTTTAACGGCATCACTGACTGACTTAAACTTCGACTTCAACGACTTAGACGACTTCACTTTGACCTCAAAGACTTCAACGACTTCACTTTGACTTCAAAGACTTTTTCTTTGACCTCAACGACTTCAATATGACTTCAAAGACTTCACTTTGACTTCAAAGACTTCAATATGACTTCAAAGACTTCACTTTGACTTCAACTTCAATATGACTTCAAAGACTTCACTTTGACTTCAACAACTTCAATATGACTTCAAAGACTTCAATATGACTTCAAAGACTTCACTTTGACTTCAACAACTTCAATATGACTTCAAAGACTTCACTTTGACTTCAACAACTTCAATATGACTTCAAAGACTTTTCCTTGACTTCAACGATTTCAAAGACTTCACTATAACTTCGACGATTTCACTTCATCACTATGACCTCAACGACTTTAATATAACTTCAACTTCAAAGACTTTTCTTTGACTGCAACATGACTTCAACTACGTCACTATGACCTCAACTACGACTTCAACAACTTATTGACTGACTTGACTGACTTCAAATAACTTCTTTGACTTCAGTTCTGACTCTATTTACTTCACTGACTTCAATAACTCAATTGACTTCAGATTGACTACACTGACTTCAACTTAAACTTGTATCGACTTCATGCCGATTTTCTCGACTTCTTAGATCAACACAAAAACTCGACTTGACTTCACTATTATGTCCGTTGTTCAAAATCATTTGTGGGGGCGGTCCGGGTCAAATTCCTGGTCATGGGGTTGATGTTCTAGGGCAGATGCGTGTTATCTATGTGCTGTACTTTCCGTTTCACTAATTCTAACGCTAACTCTGCTTTTGTTCTTGACATGTCTTACTATCTTGACTATCTTGTTTTCTAGCTTATTCTCTACAAATGTTCCAACTTCTCCTGTTTTGTCTAATGGTATGCCCTGTTTATAGCATTGAAACTCTGCCTCCATGGTTGTGTATGTGTGTGTGTGTGAAGAGGAAAGTTAAGAAAACTAAGGCAACAGGGCGTAACAATAGAATGTGTAAGGCAGAAGAACCGCTGGCACAAACTATCCAGCACGGGTATAAACCCAAACGTTTAAAAAAAATGTTGGAAGGTACTTATCTTTGTGAACATGGTGACTGTTCCCTTGTATTGGTAATCCACTCGTTCCGGTTGAAGAAACCCGCTGTTGTGATGAGTTAGAGAAAGCAATACACCAGTCATACTCCGTCATGAATAGCTGATATACGTTCTTTCCCTTACTCGACCCGCGCTCCACCAGATGTGAGGGTGGCGATTTTTAAGAGAGGCCGGGACGAATGAATCCAATAACACCAGTTCAAGTTCAACTATAATTGTTCTTTATTAAAATGATATATATGTTCAAGTTTCTACCTAACTGATCTACACTGTACTATTTACTTCTACTACTGACTGTTCATACCACATGCTACCTACTACTACGCACTCCCATGACCAATCCTAACACTAACTGTTCTCTACATTCTACAACCTAACACCTTCTACCTTCGCTAGCTAATCATGATCTCCTAACTATCTACATTCCTCGGCCGTCTCTGACCGCTACCTCACAACTCCTGGCCTATCGCTCTACTGCCCCACGCCTCAGTGGTCAGCTGACCGTCCCACGTGATCGGTCAGCCCTGTGCGCCCATTGGCCTCTCTAACCAACCAACTAGGCCTATAGTCTGTTTCTGCTAACCTATATCTGCTAAACATGCCTGACGTAATCTTGCGTCATCACAGCCATGTAATACGTTTTATTTTAATAATCAGAAAAATATACCAAGGTGAGATTATTAACTGGGATGTTTCTTTTTGTCCGTAAAAAATCCAAACAGTTTCGTCACTTTGCGAGGCTAAAATCGGAGTCAATGGCCTCAATGGCGCATAGCCATTTGACACGTATCTTTAATTGTGATGGATGCATGGCCGAGTCGGCAAAAGCTCATGGTTGATAAATTCGAAAAAGTCTCGAGTTAAACCCTCTGGCAGATAAGGCTCGATACCTTCCAACAATAAACATTAAGAACGAAGAAGAAGAAGAAGTCACCTTGCGAATGATGCAATTAGCATCTATTTTTAGATATTCCAATCAGAAATTGAGATCGAACATCTAAGAATAGACCATCAGTAACGCTAACATATTGCATCAGTCACACTGACGTTTAAAACACGTCAAATAATATCTTTACGTGTTAAATAACAAATGCTGTTCATTTGTGTCACTTTAGCGAATGACGCAATCTGCATCACTATTAACGGGATGCTATTAGGCACGATGACGCCTATTAGTTTTAAGGAGCCAGGGGTAGTACGCCGCGCCTATGCGGTAGTGTAATCGGGTTGTAAACCCGCGTCCCGATCAGAGGCGTAGCGAGAGGGGCGGGGGGGGGGGGGTGGGACATAAGTCCCCGGGTGCCGACCTTAGGGGGGCGCCAAATGGGTTGGAGAAACAAACTGAAAGTTTGAGGGTGTGTGTGTAAATCAAATGTTCGAGGTGGGAGGTGCAAATCGAAAGTTTGAAAGGGAGGGTGCTAATCAAAAGTTTGAGGGTGAGTGTAGGTAAACCCTTGTCCCGATATTTATGATCAAAGCGATGGCATTGTTTACATTTAAATAACTCACTTTTAGAAAACAAAGTCACCAGTCTAAGAATTTAGGATTGGTAACGCATGTATGAAACCCTTATATTTTTCGTCGGACTTTCTTCTAATCCCGCGGCAACGCGCGGGGACGAGTACGCTAGTATATATATATATATATATATATATATATATATATATATATATATATATATATATATATATATATATATATATATATATATATATACCTATCACAAAACAAAGATTTTTATTATATATGTATATATTTGTCTATCACAGGGTTATAATGAACTCAGATTTGACATGAAGTATAAATTTCAAGACTACTACACTGTGTACAGAAGTTTTGAGGTAGAAAATGAAGCAGCAAAGTATAAGATGAGCTACACGTATTTCAGTTATGGGAATGTTAGAGACCAGTTTAGTCATCACAACGGCATGAAGTTTACAACCATTGGCTCTGATAACGATGTGTGGTCAGGTGGCAACTGTGCTGTAGACTACGGTAGCGGTGGTTGGTGGTACGGTGCTTGTCACTATGTTAACGTCAACGGTGAATGGGCGAGTCGTGTTGTTGCTAAAGGAATTGAATGGTATACAATTACAGGCTCGTCTGACTCTCTAGACTTTGTTGAATTAAAACTTCGTCGGATGTAAACAACCCGAAAACAATGCTGAAGTAAAATACGGCTGGTAAGTAGGTCACCAATTATTTATATATGTCTCATGCAGGTTTTATTGAGACGTACAACTGGTTGGTGACCTACTTACCAGCCCTATATTGGGTACACAAAAATCTTACTTATATAATCTTCAGATCATTAAAATACATTACATATATGTAACAATTTAACTAGGGCAATATTTTCTTGATGAGGATGATGATGAGTGACAGGTTTAAAATTAGGGATCATCAAACCAAAACATTTTAGTTGAAAAATGATTTTGCAGTCATCTCAAATTGAAATACTTCGTAGATTGACGGTGTGTCATAAATGATGTAAAAAAGGCAAGTATGGTGTCTTTTTTTCTTGAATATGCATAAATAGGTTAGTAGTGTAGTTGTCATCTACCACTATATCTTTAATTAGGCAATTTACTAAAATCGTGTGTAGTTCACCCACAATTATGTGTGTAATGTTTGGCATTTTTTTTTCAATAATATTTTGTTGGCATTTTTATTTAAAAGATATATAATCGATGCAAAATCACTTAAAGTATGATAGTAAGTGTCAATTTTGGTTTTGTAAATTTTTGTATTATCAATTTCATTGTAAATATGTGCTGGACAAAACAATAACGTGAACTAAATGTATTATTTATTTAAATCCTATTTTTAAGTAGGTTATATTTTATCTAATACAATTCTTATCTTGCGTGTTAGTTTATTTAAGAAATATGTAGCATCACAATGACATATAAGAAAAAAAAAGTTTCATTTTTAATATTTTATCACTGAGATCAGAACATTCTTTTATTATCGCTTCAAGGTATATAATAACACTCTCACTGATCAAGTGGATAATTTTAATTGTTACCTCCCGTGATCAATTTACTGTCCTATGTGTCACATAGGCCTACCATAGTTTTGAGCAATGTTCCGTTGCCTAATTTTATATTTATAGTTGTTTAGTATGTTTACGGCGAAACAATTAAAGATAAACATATACATACATCTTTAATATATCGTAAACATAGTTTTTACATCAAGCATTTCTTTGCATAAGAAATCTAATTGACCTGCCAACTGTACTGATTTAAGTTTGTGATCGTAGGATGAATCATTAACTAGCCTTAAATTGAAAAAGCAGTGCAGGCTACACAAAATGTCTTGATTTTTTAGATGAAAATGTGTAGTTTAGTCAGAAGTAAAATTAGTTTCGTTTTTCAATGAGACTATTGTATCACATAATCAGTACAGAACAGCACGATACAACACATGAAAGAATGGGAAAATTGTGACAGCAACATACAACACATGACAGCATACGGTAACATTTGACAGCACTAAACAAAATGTGCCTGTAATTTATAAGGTATATCAAAATCTCATAAAGTCATAGAATTTGATTAGCAAAGTGCGTGTCCTTATTAATTACAGGTTATTACAGTTTAAATTTAATCGGACTCTTTCATTGTGTGGCTCATATTTTCGCTATGCTCTACTTGTTCTTGTTTAGTATAAGTTTGGCCATTTTAGAAATGATGATTTGATTATAGAAAAACATGTAATGCTGATTTTACACTAATTTTATTACAATAATAAAAAACAACAGGATATAATCCGCAAGAAATGTAACATACACAGCTAAACTGTCATAGCTGAAAGTAAAAAGATCGTTTGGACACGTCAGCCTATAACTTTTATCCGTAGATGGAAGAAGGTAAAGTGACTGGACTGTAGCGTCCTGACTTTGCAGGTCACTTGACTCAGGCTCCGCCTCTTTGACCGCAGTCCGAGGTCAGGTCCCGGTTACCACTGGACTCCAGGTTTAGGCGTGTACCTGTTACCTGGGGATAGCATAACGGGGAGAGGAGATATTTAGAGTGTGTCATAACAATTTTCAGGATTTAATAATAATACATTCAACATCACACGCAATACAAAACGTCTGTAGAATAATGTAATGTTATTCATTCCTCGAATACTCGCATATTTAGTAAATCCCCTTTGTCAGATTATAAATAAACTGGGAGTGATCTCCCCTAAACATTCTCGAATATTCTAATATAACACTACGGGGGATGGCAACTCGGGATATAGACTTCTAGACATGATTTTTAATCATTTACATACTCAAACTTTTTAAAATAGAAAATAATCTCGTAGAAAACAGAATTGCATACCAAGTGAACGCTAAATAAAGATTTGCATAATAGTGCGCGATATTATTAGTACTTTATAAATTTACATGCGTTTTTTGAGAAATCAGAAATAGCGTAAATTAGTACTTCCGGTTAACGGAAATTACTCAAAATTTGATAGAAGGTAGAGAATTAGATCTTTTACTTACGTATCAAATTTCATTTATCTATCTGAAATAGTACTCAAGTTATAGGCTTTTGAAAAATTCAAAGTAGAAAAAGTACCACTTCCAGTTAATGGAAATCGCTCAAAAGTTAATACGGATCTACGATTTTGATAAAATACTTATATATGAAATTTCATCAACCTAGCTTTAACGGTACTCAAGTTATCGTGTTTATACACAGACACACACAGACAGACAGACAGACAGACACACAGACATACGGACAAGATTGCAAAATTATGTTTTTCCGTATCAGTGAGATGTAAAACGTCGAGATTTGTAAAAATCTCGATTTTTTTTTGCACGATTACAAGACTTTCTCTATACTTCGTATATACGAGAAAGTAAAAAGTAATAATTCATTAAAAAACGAAAACAAAGTGTTTGTTAAATATTACTATTTTAATTTTTTAACTAAAGTAGGGATGTAGTGTTTTAATTTTTGCCAAGGTATATAATCGTTATATTCTCCAAATATTTGGATAATTTTAATTGTAGCCTCCCTTCATATGTTCATAATACTCTATAGGTTATATTTTTAAAGTAGGATAAAAATTGTTTTATTACTTATTTTAGCCATATCCTGCTAGCAACCCACTTATGGGATGCTTGTAAACAATTGCTAAAGATATTAAAAGCTATTTAAACCCCGATTTATGTTTCATTGTATTTGGAAATGGTTAGACTATCGAATTTGCATGTGTTTTGTGAAAAAGGCTAATTTTTTTAAAAAAAGTTATTCAGCCGGTTTTTGTAGACTTGTCAAAATGGCGGAAAAATTAAAACGCGCACAGAAATTTCGTATCTTCTTAAATATTAGCATTTTAAGTGCTAAATACATTCGAAACTTGTAGCAGTACAATATTTCTATCTGATACACATTTAAGAGTAACAATATTGTGTAGCTACTCTTTTATATAAAGTGTACAACAAGCATCCTATAACTGAGACGCTAGCAATGAATGACCCCATGCAGATTGTTGATCAAATTTCATATCTATTGGGCACTAGCAAAAAACAAAGATGCAAATGTTTATGTTAAATAATTATGTATGATAAAACAATGGTTATATTTTGTTAACTGCTGACTTTGGGGGGTGTGAAGTAGTATTTATAGATATTAAATTATGAACTTGACTTTTATATTACGTATATTATTTTATAAAATAATTGAAAATAAAATTTTGGAAAAATTTACATTTTATTTTTAAGTTTTCAGAATTACAATGACTGAAGTATTCAAATCAATTAACTATACTAATTTAATCATGCTGTAAATTCATCAGCACATGATATTAAATTAGGTCTGGTGTTTTGCAAAGCCATACAATGATTAAAAAGAGAATTTGATGTCAGTGGCGAAGCTAGGTTTTTCAGAGGGGGGGGGGGGAGTGTTAGTAGCAGCGATTTGTTTTATTTAACACATTTCGGGGTGTTTAATAAAGTCATTATGCCATTACACATCTCAACTGTACATTTGACAATTAAATTGACAAGATGCATATAGGTTTTTCTTCCGATCTTGATTTATTTTCTGGATCATCGATTATGCTTGCAATTATCATCGATATAAACGTTTTACGAAATCACTCTCCCTGTTGAATCACACGGACCATAAGCATCCTTATTCTAAGACGATCAAGACAGAACTAACAAACATAATACACAGCAACCAGTTTCTACCCAAAACGTCACTACCTATCCTCCGCGTCATCATATCATTCGTTCATTATCTCTTTCACACCAACTTTCGTTTGCACCAACATACCCTGATTAAACACACATAATAACATTACCCCCTCCCTCGAAAAGCTAATTATATTAGCTGAAAATAACTCACTGATATTCCATCTCCAATATTTACAGGGTTCAATTTTCTTTCATCTCACTTTCCGTTAATCCCTGGCATGCATCCAATCCCTTACCTCCTATCAGTATAACTGTTGTAAACCAAGTTAGAACAGTCGGAGTGGCTAGAGTGGAGGATGACAATGTTAAATCGAAATATTAAGAACTTACGAAAACTATGACAAGGCTTTGTATTTTTAAAACTATACACATGTATACATATGAAAACATTTTTAAAACTTATTTCTACAGCAGCACCAGTTATTCTATTGTTAAAATATTCTACTCCGCTACCCATCACATTTTCACCTTTTACGCAGACAGCGACAATCTGCGAATGTATAGAGGCAATGGTGTTCTACTATAGAAAGTATGTTTTACGTCAATATCCTCATATTTGCACTGATGTAAAAATTTTAATGGAAAAGGTTCATTGAATTATACAATATGTATAATGGTATGATTAACCAAAACAGTTCACAATAGTTAATCGACCAACAAGTTAGACTGCGTGAACAAAGTCACCCACATATTATTAGAATCAATAAAATATGTTTTATAACAATATTTTGCGATATGCTGCCAACTATGTGTGATTCATTATATTAGGATTTTATCTGCATATGTTCACTAAAGATGAAAGATATGAAACATAAAACAATGGCCTCAAAATAAAACTGGAGAGAATACACATGTTCAAACTAAAAACACTTCAAACGACAATCAAGAAAAATGTGTCGAATAAAATAAAAATTTACTATGTGCTGTCCTTGCATAGCTACAAACACTATTATGTTGAAAATACAATTCAAAATATGCAAATATTCTATACATTAATATTATTTTCTAAATTAGAATTAATCGAAAACAAATTTAGAACCCTCGTGCACAAGACATTAGTTAAAAAAAAAACGCCAACATTTTGTATGTAGAAAATTGTTGGCAGCACCAGCGCGCGAAAATAACGTTTCCCACTGGTATCGTCTTACATGAACCGAGCAAAACAACACGTGCATCAAGATAAGAATGTGGGGATCTACGTTCTACACTCATAGCTTGTCCTTGAGATGTTAGTTTTTTAGCGTGTGAGCAGGTAAACAAAATTATATAACTTACTTTTTGTTTCACCCCGCATCAAGTAGGGCAGAGGGTTTCAGGCATGAGAACTTTAAAATTACGGTACAACTGCTAACATAAAGTAATCGTGCCATCAAGATTAATCTAAATTTAATTGTTAAAAAATATCTGGCAAATGTAATAGTGCAATTATTTAACACAATCAGAATCTGGACGTGAGTCATGTAATTTGAATTGTAACCTAGGGGCTAGTCATGTGACCAGCAAATGAAATGTGAAGTTGAATAATGTGACCAGATTCTAAGATGTGGGGGTGACCTTCACCCAAGATTTTCTGGTGAGTCATGTGATAATTTTTCTGATATGTGGGGTGGGCCATTATATCAGTATATTATTTATGGTGAGGAGTATTATGACTAGCATCTGGGATAGTTTTTAAACAAAATTAAATTATATAAAAAATATGAGAAAGAATAACATCCTACACAAAATATATGTTGCTCAGCTTTTTTCATGTGAGATTTCGTTATAACTGTATAATTCATAAGACAACAATTACTAATGCAACACATAGAGAAGATGAAAATGTTTATTTTACTTTTGCAAATCCAAACTACAATTATAGCCCTTTAGTTAATTGTATCTCATTCGTGCGTTTAATAAAATGTTAATAAAACCGAATATATATTTAAACAATTAATATTGTGTGTTTGTAAGATTGTTTCAGTATCAACATCGAACACCAAGTGAAGGTTTACTGAAATTTGTTGGGTTATTTCTAATATCTTCGGGTAAAAAAAGTATTTATTTTTTCTAAATATCAAACTATGAATGATTAGTATAATAATGAATTCAGTAGGCATGAACAACTATAAAAATTTTATTTTTTATTTTTTTATTTTTATTTGCATCTTTGTAGAATGCGTATAGAGAAAGTATTGTGATCGTGCACAAAAATAACTAGAAATTTTGACAGTTTTCACCGTTTTACACCTCAGTCCTGCATCACATCCAAAGTATAGAGGACGTATTTAAATCGGGCAAAAATTATGATTCCAGATATATCAAAATGTTGGCGTTTTATGCGTAATAAAAGTAGGAAAAACTGGACTATGCAATTCTGTCCGTATGTATGTGTGTATGTCAACACGATAATTTGAGTACCATTACATATAGTTTGATGAAATTTCATACATAAGTATTGTATCAAATTTGTAGTTCTGTTTCAACTTTTCCACGATTTCCGATAACCGGAAAAGGAACTTATTCTACTTCCAATTTTTAATATGCTTATAACCTGAGTACTATTTCATATAGATAGACGAAATTTCAGTTTTAAGTAGAATATATCTAATACTAAGCCTTCTGTCAAATTTTGAGTAATTTCCGTTGAGCTGAAGTGGTAATTTACGTTATTTCCGATTTCTAAAAATAAACGCATATACATTTATAAAGTACTAATAATGTTCCGCACTTTTGTACACATGCTCATTTTTGCTCACTTGGTGTGCAATTCTTTTTTCTACGAGATTCTATTCTATTTTAAAAAGGTTAAGTAATTATAAATGAATTAAAAATCCTTTCTATATCGTTATGTGCTTACATCCAATAGTTTTATAAAAGAATATTCGAGAAAATTTAGGGGAGATCACTCCCGTTTTTTTTTTCGTTTGGATATAGACACAACTGTTTGAAATAACTACATAAAATCAACGTAATCTCTTAGTCTAAGTGACACTAACACATTTTCTTGTTATATTTTCATATTCTATATTTTTTAAATAGATTTTGAGAACCACTTTTGTTATTGGCGAAGATTAAAAAAAATATTTTGACACAAATTCTTACTGTAGGGTCAGGGGTTGTCTTGACATGTTTACACTCGTATGTCTGTTATGTAAATCTCAAGGCCAACACTTTGGTGATATAATGTAGACAGCTGAGCTCTTATCTTAATGCTTTTTTTGTTTTTACTCGTTGCATGTCACGTGATAATTGTGTGAAGCCGAGTTCTCACACGCAGGCAGATTTCTTTTAAATAAAATATCTCGGTGTATTCAAGCCCAGTGGTTCTCAAAATGTCACTGGTTAACTTTTTATTTACATCTGTTGTATTGTGGTATTATGACCAACCGCAGATTACTAACTCATCTTAAAACTACTTCTTTGTGTGTGATGGTTATTTTTGAGGTAAGATAAATTTTAGAGGCAAAACTTTCTGCCTTATATGTAGTTATACTTTAATTATATATATTTTTTAAAATCCCCCTAGTCGCAATGATTCTTCTTAGTGTCTACATTTATAATGAGCTAATTAACTTACATAACTTTAACACGGCAATGTCTAAATGATATTTGGTAATGTATTAATGATTACATATTCCTTTTAATAAACATGATGTATATGCTACATTAAATAGTACAACAATACGACACAATACGGTCGTCCTTTCATTTAACTCAAAACATGCAGGGCACTGTTCAAACATTTTTAACTTGTCATGTTTATCATTACACCACAAGCCCTTGTCCCTAGCCGCTACTAACAAAAAGCTTCTCACAATCGTTAATTTCAGATTTTATACCCTCATTAGACCTGGGTATAGCAATACATAATAAATGGGGGTAACTACACAACAAGGTTAATTCAACTCTTTCACGCCTCTCCCGTACGTTCTAGACTATTCTAACCTATTCTAATCTAACCTACAAATGACATGTAACAACCTAGAAATTTCTTTTATAAAATAAAAGTCGGGCTTTAAATATGTAGCCATTTAATATTATTTGAGATCCGCTAACTATATTTACGTTCCAGCATATTTTTTATGTGTAAATTCGGAGTAAGCGATTCCCACACGTTTTTATAAACAAGTGTTAACGACTTTTCTTTGTCTTTAACGAAACTTTGTGGTATAAATAGACGGCGATTTCCTCACAAGAAAACAGAAGCAGCAGTTTAGAGAAGTCTACAGTTCGTGTGATACAGAACTACACAACTCTACAATGTCTTTTGTTTTATTAACGACTCTGTTGTTTGTAAATATCATGTTCACCTGTGGTAAGTACATTTGTATATAACTGCAACGCAAATGTGATGGAGATATTTAGTTTTAATTATCTGTGTATTTTTTTAGGTAACAATTGTTTGTTTTTATTTCCACGTATACGAAGTATAGAGGAAGTATTGTAATCGTTCAAAAAATCGAAATCGATATTTTCACGAATCTTGACGTTTTACTACCCTAGTCGGAAAAACGTAGTTTTGCAAATTTATTTGTGTATGTGTGTATGTGTGTATGTGTGTATGTGTGTATGTGTGTATGTGTGTATGTGTGTATGTGTGTATGTGTGTATGTGTGTATGTGTGTATGTGTGTATGTGTGTATGTGTGTATGTGTGTATGTGTGTATGTGTGTATGTGTGTATGTGTGTATGTGTGTATGTGTGTATGTGTGTATGTGTGTATGTGTGTATGTGTGTATGTGTGTATGTGTGTATGTGTGTATGTGTGTATGTGTGTATGTGTGTATGTGTGTATGTGTGTATGTGTGTATGTGTGTATGTGTGTATGTGTGTATGTGTGTATGTGTGTATGTGTGTATGTGTGTATGTGTGTATGTGTGTATGTGTGTATGTGTGTATGTGTGTATGTGTGTATGTGTGTATGTGTGTATGTGTGTATGTGTGTATGTGTGTATGTGTGTATGTGTGTATGTGTGTATGTGTGTATGTGTGTATGTGTGTATGTGTGTATGTGTGTATGTGTGTATGTGTGTATGTGTGTATGTGTGTATGTGTGTATGTGTGTATGTGTGTATGTGTGTATGTGTGTATGTGTGTATGTGTGTATGTGTGTATGTGTGTATGTGTGTATGTGTGTATGTGTGTATGTGTGTATGTGTGTATGTGTGTATGTGTGTATGTGTGTATGTGTGTATGTGTGTATGTGTGTATGTGTGTATGTGTGTATGTGTGTATGTGTGTATGTGTGTATGTGTGTATGTGTGTATGTGTGTATGTGTGTATGTGTGTATGTGTGTATGTGTGTATGTGTGTATGTGTGTATGTGTGTATGTGTGTATGTGTGTATGTGTGTATGTGTGTATGTGTGTATGTGTGTATGTGTGTATGTGTGTATGTGTGCACGTGTGTACGTGTGTACGTGTGCACGTGTGCATGTGTGCACGTGTGCATGTGTGCATGTGTGCATGTGTGTATGTGTGTATGTGTGTATGTGTGTATGTGTGTATGTGTGTATGTGTGTATGTGTGTATGTGTGTATGTGTGTATGTGTGTATGTGTGTATGTGTGTATGTGTGTATGTGTGTATGTGTGTATGTGTGTATGTGTGTATGTGTGTATGTGTGTATGTGTGTATGTGTGTATGTGTGTATGTGTGTATGTGTGTATGTGTGTATGTGTGTATGTGTGTATGTGTGTATGTGTGTATGTGTGTATGTGTGTATGTGTGTATGTGTGTATGTGTGTATGTGTGTATGTGTGTATGTGTGTATGTGTGTATGTGTGTATGTGTGTATGTGTGTATGTGTGTATGTGTGTATGTGTGTATGTGTGTATGTGTGTATGTGTGTATGTGTGTATGTGTGTATGTGTGTATGTGTGTATGTGTGTATGTGTGTATGTGTGTATGTGTGTATGTGTGTATGTGTGTATGTGTGTATGTGTGTATGTGTGTATGTGTGTATGTGTGTATGTGTGTATGTGTGTATGTGTGTATGTGTGTATGTGTGTATGTGTGTATGTGTGTATGTGTGTATGTGTGTATGTGTGTATGTGTGTATGTGTGTATGTGTGTATGTGTGTATGTGTGTATGTGTGTATGTGTGTATGTGTGTATGTGTGTATGTGTGTATGTGTGTATGTGTGTATGTGTGTATGTGTGTATGTGTGTATGTGTGTATGTGTGTATGTGTGTATGTGTGTATGTGTGTATGTGTGTATGTGTGTATGTGTGTATGTGTGTATGTGTGTATGTGTGTATGTGTGTATGTGTGTATGTGTGTATGTGTGTATGTGTGTATGTGTGTATGTGTGTATGTGTGTATGTGTGTATGTGTGTATGTGTGTATGTGTGTATGTGTGTATGTGTGTATGTGTGTATGTGTGTATGTGTGTATGTGTGTATGTGTGTATGTGTGTATGTGTGTATGTGTGTATGTGTGTATGTGTGTATGTGTGTATGTGTGTATGTGTGTATGTGTGTATGTGTGTATGTGTGTATGTGTGTATGTGTGTATGTGTGTATGTGTGTATGTGTGTATGTGTGTATGTGTGTATGTGTGTATGTGTGTATGTGTGTATGTGTGTATGTGTGTATGTGTGTATGTGTGTATGTGTGTATGTGTGTATGTGTGTATGTGTGTATGTGTGTATGTGTGTATGTGTGTATGTGTGTATGTGTGTATGTGTGTATGTGTGTATGTGTGTATGTGTGTATGTGTGTATGTGTGTATGTGTGTATGTGTGTATGTGTGTATGTGTGTATGTGTGTATGTGTGTATGTGTGTATGTGTGTATGTGTGTATGTGTGTATGTGTGTATGTGTGTATGTGTGTATGTGTGTATGTGTGTATGTGTGTATGTGTGTATGTGTGTATGTGTGTATGTGTGTATGTGTGTATGTGTGTATGTGTGTATGTGTGTATGTGTGTATGTGTGTATGTGTGTATGTGTGTATGTGTGTATGTGTCAGTAGCGTACGCAGGGGGGGAGCAGGGGGAGCGGCCGCTCCCCCTCTGGCCATTTTCAGCAAAGTGGCGCCTTTTTGGAAACTTTTTAAACTCAAAGTTTTAAACAATGATATTTGTTAAAAAATATTTTTGTATGGATTTTTTCTATGTAAATCACAAGATTTCTTTTCATGCAGCAATTAATTAAGCATTATTGTACTAATCTATTGGTGTCTACGTTTACAACACGTTTACAACACGTATTAACAGCTGCATCAGTTTGACATTCTAAAAATAACCATTACGATGCATTGCAATGTTTAAAAATTCTCTACGGTAGTACCACTTGGCAAGAGGGGTGTTAAGTTTAAGGCAACTGTATAATGTATTAGCTTACGAATAATCGAATTAGAAAATGTTATACATAAAACTTCACACATAATTACTTTATATATACAGTTTGAAACGTGTGATTAATTTAAAAAAAAACTACAATACAGACACAAATACAACTAATGTGGCACCTCTATTTAAATTTACTTATGAGCAAACTCGTAGTGGTGGGGACACTTTGACAAGGTCAACAACGTCATCACGATGAAGTAGTAGTATTATGACAGTTTGTGCGATAGTGATTACAATTACAAATTATATGAAACAGTTACAACCCCCCTCCTCATGGACCCCTCTGTAAAAAAAATAGTGTCATAATACCACTGCTACTTATTTAAATCCATTTCAGTAATATATATATGTGTGTAATATATATTTGTGTAATATATATGTATGTTTAGAACAGTCATCTAAAAACTGACGCTATGTTCACTCTGAGTTGGTCCCCCCCCCCCCCCCCCTACACATACCTCACCACCTGATCTGTTTAGTACATGTAGAAAAAAGCGTAATGATGTACCAAAGTACCATGCCGCCAGAAAATTAGCTTTTTAAACATAAAACTGTGAATATTATTTTTGCAATTACCAGTAAAAAGGTGTGAGATCAATACAGTGATCTAACCCATACCTATCACTATGTTAAAAAAAATGATCTTTAAATAACACAAAGAAGCAGCAGTTAATTAAAATATATAATCTGAACTGAAAGACCGATATTTAGTTAAATGTAGGCTGTTATTTCGTATGTATTCCAATTACGTCTAAAAGCGTGGTTTTTATATCAACTCTGATTTTAAAAACTTTCATTATGCTGTAATACTTTAGCATTTATGATGACGATATATTAAATTCTGATTATAGACAAAAACATTTTATAATCACGAATAGTGTTAAACAATTTCATTATATTTTAAAGTAATTATTTATTTGTTTTGACATTTATAATTAAATGTGTAGATATATACATATTTATATTAAGAGAGTGATTATTTCCCCTATTTCACTTGTCTTAAATAATTTCCCAGGAATTATTATGTAAGAAACTTTTTTTTACAAGAATTACAAAACAGATTGTGTTACGTTCATTGTTTTTGGTTGTAGTGTGTATATACATATATATATATATATATATATATATATATACATATATATTTGTGTTTAGATTGATACAATATTTGTTTTGTCGGCTTACATTGTGTTTTTTCTTATTTCTTCAGAGTGCTACTTTCAATTTATTTTACATCATATTGAAGTAATGACATACAGCTAGTAATTATATATATATATATATATATATATATATATATATATATATATATATATATATATATATATATATATATATATAATACACGTATATAGAACGTGTTAAAAATTCGGCGCCTGTTTTGCTATTTTTCGCTCCCCCTACAACGAAAACCTGGATACGCCTCTGGTATGTGTGTATGTGTGTATGTGTGTATGTGTGTATGTGTGTATGTGTATGTGTGTATGTGTGTTTGTGTGTATGTGTGTATGTGTGTATGTGTGTATGTGTGTATGTGTGTATGTGTATATGTAATTTTAAACAATTCTATAGGTTTTATCAGTATTTTAGTTAACCATCTTGTTTAAAAAATTCATACGACAATAACAGTTGAATGTTTCAAAATTAAGCTTAACATGTATTGTCTACTTTCAAATTATTATTCTTTTGTGTGAATGCCTAATACTTAAGCCCGTAAAAACAAGTTAGGATTCTAGATTTAAATTAAAAATTATTATCATTAATTTTTTTTTTAAATCCCACGTTTTCTGATTGAATTAAAAAGTAGAAAATAAATGCTATACATCACAATAATGCAAGCGATCACTCTACTATAAGCGATTGCAAACTGCGTGCGCATTATGACAAAAAATGAAAAACGTGAAAGTAAAAGAAATCATGGCGCCCCACAAGACAAGCATACACTAGTACAAACATACACTTATAC